GTATAGTGTCTTCTTTATATTAGGTGCTCAATAAATTAATGATTTGTGAGGCAATAAAGATAGAAGATGTAATATTCAAACAGTATTTGAGTTTCCTTCTAACCAATTCAGTGATTAAAAATGAACAAAATAACTCTGAAATTGATACTTAATGAGTTTTTTTTTTTTATCATTGTTGTCACCCAATTGTCCATGTTCATTGGGAACATAATTTCAAAAAATTTTAATCTAAACCATCTATTTTCATTAGTAATTTTATGCCTTCTGGCAAAACTTTGATAGCAGTATTTATTAGTGAAGTTGACCACTTTGAGTTCACATTCTCTGGCATTGTGTTGGTGAAATAGAGATGAATAACTTTGCACCATTTAATCTTTTTTCTAAGTATTCAAGTATTGATGTTTTAAATTAAACTATTTTTCTAAATCACTAGTAATACAGATTATCTCACCAACATTGAGAATAAAAAAAACGTAAAAAAAATACAAAAAATCCTTAATTTGTCTTGAGAATACTGGCTGCTATTAATGTTATTACTAATATTTGCTTATTGTTTTTGTAATACTTACTGATGTGGAACTTATTCCTGCCAAGGTTCAAAGGGGAATCTTTTCTAATTTTGAAATTCTTCCAAAAATGGTTTACTAGTGACATCTGCTGGTATAATGTGGTAATAAAGATAAAAGTATCTCCTGGAAGTAATTTCATGGAAGTTAAGCATGAAACAAAGAATCTTTGTGGGCAGAATTGTTTTTTTAACTATCATTTACACTTATAATTGAAAAAAAATTGTGTTTGTGGGCTCCCCTTCACATTGGCATTTGACCAAGTATATTCTAATAACAATAAACTTTATACTTTCTCATACACTATTTAATTGTAGCCTGAACCTCTATAATTAGTTGTGTCAGCTAAGTTGTTTGATATAGTGCTGCAATTTTTTCCTCCTTCTCTTTCCTGCACATAACATTACAAATGTAGAGATTCATTAACTATGATGGAGTCATACTAGTTATTTATGTCATTTACATAGGTTAACTGTAATGGAAAAGTCTATGTATACATGCATTATATGCATTATATTTTTATGCACACTCAAAAATAACAACAAGACTTTGTATTAGAGAATGATTTTATTAGAAAGAGAAAGGACTTTGTTTCCCCCCACCGCTTTAAATTTTTTTTTTCAACGTTTATTTATTTTGGGGACAGAGAGAGACAGAGCATGAACGGGGGAGGGGCAGAGAGAGAGGGAGACACAGAATCGGAAACAGGCTCCAGGCTCTGAGCCATCAGCCCAGAGCCTGACGCGGGGCTCGAACTCACGGACCGCGAGATCGTGACCTGGCTGAAGTCGGAAGCTTAACCGACTGCGCCACCCTGGCGCCCCCCCCCCCGCCCCCCACCGCTTTAGAAGAGATTTTCAGCACTATAAAATATGGAGGTATAAAATATTCTCAGTCCTAGGCTATTTTCTCTATTGGCACTTCTCTCCTAGATGATTGTATCTAGTCCTATGGATTCAAGTTCTGCTTATAAATGAATAGACCTTTTCCTTGAACCCAAACCTGTATAGCAGCTGCTTGCTTCATTAACATTTCCATTTATAGATAACATGAATCTCAAACTTACCATGTCCAAAATAAAACTTTGATTTTCTCCTCAAACCTGTTTCTCCTATAGTCTTCTTCACTTCAGTAAATGGACATTTTATCCTTCTATTTGCTCAAACCCCAAATATTCTACTAATTAGTAAATTTTCTTTTTCTCTTGTACTACACATTCAGTCCATCGAGAAATTCTACCAACTCTGCTTTTGAAATGCATTCAGAATTCTCCCACTTGTCTTTACCTCTGCCACTTCATTATCTAGTCAGGCCACAATCATCTTTCCCCTCCTGATTAGCCTCTTGTTAACTTTGTCTTCCTGTTGTTTTCCAACTAGCAGCCAAAGATAATCTTAAAATCTAAGACACATCTTTGTCACTCTTCTGTTGAGAACCACCCAAAGTTTTCAGGGTGCCTAGAGGGCCATACAAGAATTGTAGACCACTCCTTCCCTCCACACTGTTACTGTGACCTCATTTCCTACCACTGCTTCCCTTCCCTGTTCGGCTCTGGCTACAGTAATCTACTTTGCTGTTCTCCTTACATGCCATGCACACTCCTCATCAGGGACTTTGTACTTGCTCTTCCTTCAAATCAATGCTGTTCCCTCAATTCTATAAGGCTTCTGATCAAATTATCAAATTTCACCTTCTTGGAGAGGCCCTTCTGGACTACACTATGTAAAATAATAAGGCCTAACTCCCATCTGTTTCTCCTCTTATCCTGCTTTGTTTTTTGCCATAGCAGTTATCACCGCATGACATATTTACTTGTTTTGTCATACCTTTCCCGGACATAGAGGGTCAGCTGTATGAAAACAGAGATTCTGTATTGTCTACTGTTACATCCTTAAAACTTAAACTTGTGCTTCCTCATAGTAGGCATTCAGTTAATATTTGTTGAGTAAGTCAGTGAACCTTAATACGTGAATGGAGAATGTAATTTGATTTGCATTATAATAACCAAATCCATTAAATAGTGAGGCACCCTTCTAATGGGGTGTTTTGTATAAATCTTTGTGTGTGTATCAGACTTTATACATTTAATTCCAATTACAATAGTGTTTCCTAGTTAGGTTAAAGCTCAGACAATACCCTTGGTATCAAAATTCAGGGAGATATTACTATTTTAAAGATTCTTTTTATGGGAATAATTACTTTTTTGTTCTTTTGACATAGACATCTGACCCTCAATTACATTAACAGACCTTATACACATGAATGGAAAAAAGAATAGCCTCTTTTGAATTCGGGCTAAGACTTTATCAATATGAAGTGCTTCCCACAGGGTTCTGCTGAAAGAACCAAACTTCCATCATAATGAAATTGCAAATTCATTTGTGCATGCCCCCTTTTTTTTTTGAAAGCTACTTTTTGATGTTTGGTCTGCAATTAGATTTATTGTTTAAGGTCACAAATATGCAATCCTGACTAGACCAAGTTGTCAGAATCCTTTATCTATTCAGCATTGCACAAAGATAAATGGCTATCTTTTAACAATAACATACCAAAGCCAAAAATTTGTTCCCCCTTGTATATAATCTTTTAATCAATCTGCCGCTGTTTTCCAGTCAATAGACTCTTAGCCTACCCCTTCACCACCCCACCTATCTAGAAATTGCCCAATTATGGGTTTTAAGTTACTGAGAAACACTTTCTTTAGATGGAAAAGGATAAGTTTAAGAATTTTAATGCTACAATTTTCCCATGCACATTTTTAGCTTAACGTATGAATTACTTTGCCTTTACCCTCAGTCCGTGTGGGGTGGATAATTATGTTAGTATGTTCGCTAAATTCTTTGCTTACATTTCTCACTGGTAACATGACCACAAAGTAGATCATGTTGCTTAATTAAAATGAATTCTTAAGTGTTTTAAAAGATCTCTGATCTTTTAAATTAAATTAAATTCTTTTCTGAGATTCTATGTGTCCTCCAGTAAAAATGTATATATTTAAACTTGTCAAGATAGGTTTCTTATATTTTGTGCATTTCCTTGGTGACCTTTCATGTAAAAGGCATACTGTGAGAATTGCCCAATTAGATTTGAGGCTGTACATTTTATCCAGGAATATCCAGTGTCTAAAATTAACATACATTAGAGCGTCATTGTATCACCAATCTCTATAGTTTCTCCAAGGGATTTTGATATTAGATACCCAGTAATTCTTTACTAACTTGATCATAACTTATAAAGCAGGCCATTAAAACTAGTCTAGTAATTTTCATGTTTTAAAATCATCTTTAAATATTTTTTGCAGATCTGAGAATCATTTTTTCTTAATTGTCACACAGTTTGAATCTTCCCCCAATTAAAAGGAATACAGTGTTTCAGAAGGAGGTATAAGAGAAAACCAAAGCTTTTAATTCAGATGGACTTTTAAATTTTTTTCCTATATTTGTATTGCTATTTATTTTGTGACCTCTTGGAAGTTGCTGCATTTGGGGGCAGGAGTGGGGGCTCTGCCCAGCTATGGATTAGAGAAATACCTATTCAAAGAGGTGTGGTATAATTAAATGAGACAACACACATCAAGGGCCCAAAACAATGCCCAGCAATAGTAAGTACTCAGTAAATATTATTTGGGCTTCTGCACCTGTGCCCTCCCCTCAGCCCCACTCTGTTCCCCAGGATATGTTATCCGTTCCGATTGGGCTCACTCAGAAGTTAAAACCGGTGAACTAAACTTGAAGCCTTTTTGTGTCTGCCAACTCTTCGTTGCTCCACGTTCACTGAATTATTAAGTAGGGAGAAGTCAGGACCTAGAATTGACCTATTCATAATACCCAGCAGGTGTATGTGGCCTTTACTTCTCAACAAATTGCTCCCCTGGGGATTGCCTAAAGTGAAACACTCCACTCCCAGCCTTCAAAAATGAAGTCCACATGGAGCTCTGAGAAGATATACTTAAATCTGTCTTCCATCTGCAAATATGAGAGTTGAGCCTTAAATTATGTTAATTTGGCATAGGACATTTTAATCATCCTGTGTAAGATGGCTTGCTTCATTGTTTGTTGCATTTATAGTGCTCAGATCACTGTCCTAAAAGAGTTTCACCTTTTATTTATTTATTTATTTTTAATGTTTATTTATTTTTGAGACAGAGACAGAGCATGAACGGGGGAGGGTCAGAGAGAGGGAGACACAGAATCTGAAACAGGCTTCAGGCTCTGAGCTGTCAGCACAGAGCCGGACGCGGGGCTCGAACTCACGGACCATGAGATCATGACCTGAGCCAAAGTCGGCCACTTAACCGACTGAGCCACCCAGGCGCCCCAACAGTTTCACCTTTTAAAAATAATCTATTTCAGAAAAAAATTTTAGTAGCTATTTAATATACTACTTTATATCTCAAAACACGTTATCTTAGCATAAAATTTTTTATTGTTTTAGATGCAAAGATGGTTTGAAAGGATTTACATTCTCTGCCCTCAGGTAAGTAACGTATTTTATTTAACTTCATGTTAAGAAAGAATTTGCAAGTTAACTTTTTCAAAAAGTAATACCATTACACATATTATAAGAGATATTTATCTACTCAGTTTTCTAGCCGAAAATAATTGTAGAAGTCACAAAGTCACTTTTGTGATATTTCATTAAAAGAGTAACTTATTAGATTTCTTTTCCCCTAAAACCCAGTCAATCACCAAATACTTTTGGGGCCTATTGTGTGCCTCATATCATTGGATGTTAGAAAAGAATTACAAGAACTCTCTCTTTAAGGAGCTTTGGAAAGACAAAGCTACACATGGACAATGATTGCAAAATTAAATACTGAATTCTGTGGTAGCACAGTCTGGACTTCATTTGGGCAGGGCTCATGTCAGACACATTTCGGATTCTTAGCTTCACTAGAGTCACTAGAATCTGCTTTTCACCCTGTAGCCCATCTCTTACCGTAGTTATTGGCAGATGACTGTGGAAACGTTGGTTAGCACCAACATTGTATATTATAGTTCACCAAGCATTTTCACATCGATTAGAAAATTTTCACAACAGTTCTGTGAGATGGGTATTTTTATGCCCACGTGTCATGAAGAAGAAATTGAGGCTTAAGAATGCTTGACTAATTTCATGTTCACACAGTGACTGTATATATACACTTACTTGAAACCTAATGCTTTTCTATTTTGTGTCATAAATGTTGCCTATTTTGTTCTCCTAAGTACATACGGTAGATGCTTAGTGAACATTAACAGTGTAGTATTCATTGTAAGTATAGGAGGGAAAAGAGTGGATCAATACTAGAAGATTTATTTTGAAGATCAAATGAGTTAATGCATGAAAAATGTTTAGAACTGTGCATGGCACATAGTGCTCAAGAAATGTTGGCTATTATTGTATTATTATTCTTAAAAAAAATTTTTTTAATGTTTATTTTTAAGAGAGACAGAGACAGAATATGAGCGGGGGGGTGGGGATGGGGGCAGAGAGAGGGAGGGAAACACAGAATCCGAAGCAGGCTCCAGGCTTTGAGCTGTCAGCACAAAGCCCGACGCGGGGCTCAAACCCACGAACCATGAGATCATGACCTGAGCCAAAGTTGGACACTTAACTGACTGAGCCACCCAGGCACTTCCTATTACATTAGTACTCTTATGGGGATAAGCCTTAAAGTGTACTTGAAGGGTAGCTTTAGAGAACTAGAAGGGAAGGGAAGAACCTACTGGGTGGAAGGGAATTATGTTAGCAAAAGCATGAAAATTATAAACTTGAAATGTGAAGTAAGAGTGGGAATTTAATTGGCATGAAAAGCTTATATTAGGGATTATAAGGTTTGTTTGTTTTTTTGTTTTTGTTTTTGTTTTTGTTTTTGTTTTTGTTTTTATGATGAATCAAGCAGGGCCACATTATGGAAGACCTGAACAACAACACGAAAAGAAGACAGATTTGAATTTGATAAGATGAGCAGTAAGGGCCCACTAAAGGTTTTTGAGCAGGGTAGTTGACATTGTTTCAGAAAGATTAGTCTGGCCACAGTATTTGGGACCTTGTATAAAGAAAGAACAAGAAAGAAGAAAGATGAAATGAAAAGGACTGAGATTGGGTGATAGTGGAGGATTAAAGAGAAAGAGGCAAAGTTGAGATGTGCAGTAGAAGAAAATGAAGACCTAATGCCCGATAGTTTCCTTTTTTCTCTTTCCCTCCAATCCTTGGTAGGAGCCAAGTGTTGAAAACCTAAGTACCTGACAAAAGGTACTATTAACAGAAAATCAGATAGCATGCAACAAGACTAGTTTGGGAGGGGACAGATTGAGTCCACTGTTTGAATATCTTTGGTTGTGGAAACTCTGTAGTAGCAATAACTAAGTATACACAGCAGTGATTTCTTCATATTATATTCTTCATTAAAAAATGATGGGGGCTCCTGGGTGGCTCAGTCAGTTGAGCATTTGACTTTGGCTCAGGTCATGATCTCATGCTTTGTGGGTTCAAGCCCCCAGGTCGGGCTCTGTGCTGACAGCTTAGAGCCTGGAGCCTGCTTTGGATTCTGGGTCTCCCTCTCTCTGCCCCTCCCACACTCACACTCTGTCTCTGTCTCTCTCTCTCAAAAATAAATAAACGTTAAAAATTTTTTTTTACAGATGACGAAACATTTTAGAAAATAACTTGTTGTTGTTGCTGTTGTTGCACTGGCTGTAATGGATTCTGTGTTAAATTGAAAGTTTATAACAAAACCAAAAGTTGGTTTTCGTAAAGAGAAAACTTAGCCTTTTCTCCTGTGTCTCTCCTTAGGCTCCCAGAATCCTTACAAAAACTTAAAATGTGTCAGATATTTTTGTGTCTCTTCTTCAAACCCACTTAAAATGAAGGACTGGGCTGGACGTTTTGTACTTAGAATTTTCTCTGTATTAGAGGAAAATGTTCTGGAAAAAAATGGTTATTACTTATTGCTTAAAGTTTAGTAGAAGTTATGAGAGTAGATAGAAAGAGTCAAGAGTAGAACCAAAGGGGAAGAGCCAGTCCAGGAGCCTTAAGGTATAGTAAGCCTGGATCAACATAGTTTAATACTTAGAAGTATATACAGCTTGGTGGTTAAGAACCCAGGATTTAGAGTCAGACAATTCTGATTTCAAATAGTTACTGTTATTGGCTGTGGGTGTGGGCAAGGTTTCCTGCTCACTCTCATGGAAATTATGGCACCTAGTTTGTAGTGTTGCTATGAGGGTTAAATGATTTAATATCACTACTGTACCTATCATTTAGTAAATGCTCCGAAAATGCTAATTATTACTATAGTCATTCATTCAATATATATTAATTAGATATTTACTGTGTGCCAGACACTATACCAGTCATTAGGGTATAATAGCAAAGAAGATGTACAGAGTCTCTCAAGACCCCACAGTTTAACGGGGGACGTAGCCTACTAACAAGGTGCATCTACTATTGGGGATTTATTGGGACATGATAGCACAAAGGAAGGATCGCTAACTCACTCCAGATTAGGCAGAGACAGCTTCTCTGAGGAAGTTACCTCTAATCTGAGATGGTCAGTCCTGGCTAAAAGAGCAACAGTGTTATGAACAGTGTAAGAAAGATTATTATAACTGTTCCAACGTAGTTTTTATCTTGTTCATAAAGAACAGTAGTACAGATCTTAAATTGTCCATGCACACCCATGAATAAGAACCAAATTCTTTTGGAATAAGAGCTACTTAGACTGCACAACTGCCATCTTGTGGCACACAATCTCATTGCATATCCCTTATGATTTAATAAGCTAGATGTTTTATCAAGTTTGTCCTAACAAACTTGGGTTGCAGTTGATAGTAATAGCTTTTTTTCACCTCTCTTTTCTGAGTGTTTGCATTTTCTTACTGTGTTTGTCATAGGTCCCACGTTCCAGAACCTTAGTGTAGTATTATTGATCCCTAGTTTTTGTTTGCATTTTAAGGTATTTCCTGAAAGTTCGGCAGGTAGAGTTCTCTTGGGAAAGCTTAGTTATTCTTTAAAAGAACAATGACTCTTATAATGAAGGTACAAACAGCAAAAATGAAAACAGATGAAGGATACTGATTGAGGGATATCTAATGGTGGCAACTCTTTCATTCTTCCTTTCTTTTTTTTCCCTCTCTTTTCACATTGTCTTTGGGAAAAAAATAGTCCAGTTTTAATGAGATAAGAATAGTGTCTTCTCCTTGATACTAAATTTCTCCAAAGGTAAATAAATAGATTAGGATAACATGGAATTTAAGGTTTTCTAATGAAATTTTGTGAGAATACATGGACTCTTGACTGTTTTATGATCCTCATTCTGCAGCTCCCTCCATTTCCCTGAGTATTGTTATATGAATTTCTACCACAGTGTGGCTATTTTATGACTCAAAGTGTTGGGATATAACTTTATACTGAAAAATGAGAAACTCATTCAGTTGTAACTATTAGTAGAATTTAGAGCAAAAATAGAATTTTTGTGATCAGTTAGTAGACCCAAGTAAATATTTCACTTGCTTCTTTGAAAAAACTTTAAGGTGTGTAATATCTTTAAAAAGTGGTGACTTAAGTTAAAACAGTGTGTCATAAAAGCTCTATGCTATATTTTACTTGGTTAATTTGATTTTAAAATACCTGCATTGTTGAGAGTTTAGGAAGATGGAGTAGGAGGACGCTGAGCTCACCTCATCCCATGTTTACAGCTAGATATCATCCACATCTGTGTAAAATAACAGAAAGCAATCCAACTACTGACAGAACAAACTCCATAACTAAATGTAGAGAAGAAGCCACATTTAGGAAATTAGGAAGGGCAGAAACAGTGGTTTGGAGCTACCCACAGAAGGGAGGGAACTGTGGGTGCAGAGAGGTCAAAGAAACGGTCTTGCTCTCTCACACTTGGGAGCCCAAACTGGGAAGATGAATCCCCATAACACCTGGCTTTGAAAATCAGAGGGGCTGAATTCTATGGGTTTGTATAACTAGCAGGATTTAGAGCCTGGGGCTTAAAAAGTCAGCTGACTCAGTGCTGGGCAAGATGGGAGGGTGAGTGATAGCTGGGTCTTGCCCTTAAAAAGACCATAGACAACCTAGAAGCTACAGTTTGCACAGTGCCTGGGACAAATGGGAGGGAGGAAGGTCTCCTTGTAGTGATTTCAAGTGTGTTGGGGGCCTTCTCTGAGAACAAAGGAGCTGTCAGGCACCATTTTCCTCATCTGCCCCACAGCATAAACACAGGGCCACCTGTGGGAGGTGTTACACAGACACTTGCTATCTAACCTGCTAGCGATGTGCCTTGCCCATGTGTTCTCCTGAAGACTGGCCCACTCCAAGCCTGCTGGCCTCAGTCCTGGGCTCTGTGTAGATTTTGCTAACACCTCCATCCCACCTCTGAGCCATCCTGCAGTCCTGCCTCCTCAGAGCTTGCAGCCAGAGTCTCACTAACACCACAGATAGCAAGCAAAGGCCATATCAGGCACAGAATTGTAAAGACGTGT